TGAGCCAGAGGCTGATCAATAGCCGATCTAATAGAACATTAAAAGCCCTGAGATGCAGTAGAGAGATGCAGGACTGCTGACAGTGAGGAATAGACAGCCTGTGAACCATGGTGAGAGGGAGACAGCAGAGATAGATTTTCTGCCCAATACGATGGTGTTGAAGTTCTGAGAAGGAGGCCAAGGCGTGGCATTGGCAGGATTTCTTGTTTTTGACTTGGTGTTGTGGTACATTGGAGGAGTGGGGATTAACGGTGTTACTGTTAAGGTTGGATGGGTTTAACGAGTCAACTAAAAACACACATGTAGAATATCTGTTTTCTGAACCATCTGTGGTTTAAAGTGTGCAGCCTGTTTTTTTAGTATAGTGCATGCAGGGCTTCATTTACACCTATAAAAACACAACTCGCTCATTCTGTATCCCTTTCTATCCCCTCTGTGCCCTTCTTTTCTCTTTGCATGTCAATGCCACAAGCTCTATCATAAAAGTTTAAAGAGTCTGCTGTAGAGTCTTGGTGGTTTTAGTGATGTAAACACTTTGTTGCCTTTTTCTATCACTCATTATTTATTCTTTTTTGAAAAGCCTCCCTCTCTGCGTTGGCGCTGCCCCTTCTATCGCAAATCCATTCAGAGCTGGCTGGCTAACAGACTGATTTGAATAAAAACAGAGCTTAGTGTCTGCACCCTGAATATCCCCTTTACTGCAATGTCATCAAAAAGTAGCCCATGCCTACTAATGCTCAGCCAAAACACAGACCTGACTGGGAGTTTTGCTGCCCAGCTCTGTGGCAGTGCAGGGTAAAATGCATTTGTGGTGCAGTGTCACACCCATCGCATGTCATGATGCAAGGAAATGAATATTGAATTACTTATGTTCTAAGACTGAAATTGTAATAGATTTTAGGTTGAAATCAAAATTTGAAAAAATGCATCTGGCAAATCGCTAAGGCTGCAATTTAGGATATATGTTATGCAGCATGATTTTAAAATATTCAAGCTGACGGTCGCGGCTTTGATGGGATGATAATGCTTCAACACATCTTTTAATAGTATATAGTTAAAATCAGAAATATTAAAGTCTCTCACCTCAAAAGACATTATAGGGATGTGAATTAAAGATAATGACATAATTACTAGCACCTCACACCTCTCAGTCGAAATCTTTGCCCATTCCTCACGTGCAAAAGCCTCTAACTCAGTGACGTCTGATGACTTTTTTTGCTGCAACTTTAAATCCCACCAAAGATTTTCAGTCAGATTTAAATCTGGTGACTGAGAAGGCCACCCAACGGATGTTCCAGGATCTTTTTCTCAATCAAGGTCTGGTGGACTTGGAGGTGTGCTTGGGATCATTATCCTGCTGGAAAGTCCAATGATCACTAAGATTCAATTTGTCAACAGGCTGCATCACCTTCCTCTTTAAATTGCCTGGTATTTCTGGGAGTCCATGATGCCAGGTACACTATCAAGATTGCCAGTTCCTGAAGCAGAAAAACAGCCCCACATCATCAGTGACCCACCTCCACCGTGGGGATGGTATTCTTCTGGTCATAAACCTGGCCTTTGCATGCCAGACATACTGCTGGTTCATAAGTCCAGTTTGGTTTCATCAGTCCATAGTACTGTCTCCCAAAACTCTGTAGTCTTATCCAGATTCCTCCTGACATATTCTAGTTGACTTTTGATTCCTTGTAGTCAAAAGTGGAGTGGGTCTTGGAGTCCAGACATGAAGTCCTTGTTTTTTCAGTGCACATCACTGAAGCACTTGTACCAGCCTTCATCAGGTCATCTGTAGGTGTCTTGCAGTCACACAGGGGCTTTTCTTAATTGTCCTGACTAAGTTGCTAAGGGCCCTTGATGAAATTTTGGGCTTTCTTCCACAGCCAGGCAGGTTTGTAACTGTTTCATAAGTTTTAAATAAGTTCCTTATAATGCTCCCAATAGTGTCTCTTGGATGTTTAATTCTTTGGAAATCTTCTAATACCCAATGCCCTCCTGGTGTGATGAACTAATCTCCTCTCTCAACTTATGTGGAAGCTCCTTTGTCTTTCCCATGATTGAATTAAGGATCATTATTCCACCAGTTCCCAAAGGGTTAATTATGTTTCAGTCGTGACTCGATAATCCGACACTAAATGTAAAACCTTCTTTTATGTCGGATAGCAAGGCTGTTGGATTGTCAAGACGGAGGTCGAGATACATGATGTTTGAAGGGTAACTTGTTAATATTTATTGTTCATAGTTGTTAGAGGAAGTGACCGGAATGCACAGGCAGTATTTGGCTGCTGATGCCAGATTAGGATAGCGGTCACAGTTCTGTTTCCACCATCGATGGCGGCGGGGGGAGTGGCAGATACGCTCCGCCATTACCATCCGTGTTTACTTCCGCAAATGCTGAGTGCGCTCGCTGCGTGTGACGTCCTTTTGTCCTCTTCTGTGCATGTGTGACACTTTTGAGTTGTATGAAGTTCACACAGCAGATCACATACAAGTCGTATTTAATTGGAAACGTGGACGAACTTGCAAAAAAATCAGATTTCACAAAAAAATCCAATTGAGCATTAAGTCCTGCAGTCTGTACATTACCAATCTGTCAGTCAGGTAATACGCCGTTGTCCTTATTTGTGACATAAAATGTCATGTCGGAATCAAAGGCTGTCAGTATGTTAACGCTGTTTTTTATGGGTTCCGTTCGTTTTTCCTAAAAACCTGTCGGATAGCAAAGTTTTCAGATTGCTAAGGGTCAGAATGTCAAGTCACGACTGTAATTACATAAAAAGTCATAAAGCTTTGAAATAAACAATATTATACAGGGGTTAAATAAATGTGTTATCTTAAAATATACTGTTACACACAAATACCTCATCATACATTTTCTGTGTTGATTTAAAAAAATCCAATAAAATAAATAACAAAAAGACATATATATTGACCCACTGGTACTAATAATACAGTTTTGCATGGTCCTGTTATTTCAATCTTGTACCCACCTGCTCTTATACAGACTTTCTGACCATCTCTGCCCACTCCCACACTCAAGCATCTCAGTTCTACAGAATTTAAGGTTTTTAAGCAACAGTTTAAGTTGAAAATCAGCCTGCTCTCTCCCGCAATAAATGAGCAACACTATAATTTTTTCAAATAATAAAAAACAACATACAGCTGTATGACAGGAGAAAGAAACAGAACTTTATTTGGTTGTGAGCAGTTTATTTGAACAGAAAGCATTCACTCATAGACCAGTCTTCTGATAGTAGCCTGATTGTTCTACCTGCCGACTTCCAACCATTGCTACCTGCCTACCTGCTGGCTGGTTGTTGTTGTTAGTAGTCCTCGATGTGATTCAGCTGCCTCTCCAGTGAGTCTGTCATCCCACGAATGGACTCAAACTTTGCCATCTTGGACTGCAGTGTTTTGCACTATTTTGTAAACAGAGGACAGCATGGCAGACTAGCAGAGTGACAGCAAGTAAACCGACATCCTGAGAGAAGCGTCACCGTGGTGGGGACACAAACCACAGTTTTTGATCAGAACTGTTGAATATAGGCAACCATATGTATACCTAAACATGTAGTCACATGATCTACTGGTGGATTTGTGATTCAGATGGAGATGTGTAATTTTACACCAAAAGATCATTACATTATATTTGGCGTCATCGTCTGCCACTAATGGTATGATGATATCATTGCACTGTTCTAAGTTATGTATTTTGTAGTATCCAGGGAGAAGAATATAAAGGTGTCTGGCGCAACCCTTTTATTTCTCCAGTGCTCAAGTTACACTATTATCTCTCCCGTCAGTAGTTAGCCATAGGTAGACAATGCTGCACAGAGCCATTGTATTAATGTCCCAGAGCTTTAGTTATTTAGGGCTGTGTGTGTCTATCACACAAGTTAGTTTCACACCATGTACCAGAAATGGAAAACTGATAAATCTCCCAGATCAATAGCTTCTTTTTCATTTTGTGCAGCTTCACCTGCTTTCGCAAGTGCTTTCCTTCTGTCTTCTCACAATAAGTGGGTGACTCATTGCGGCAGGTCTGCAGCCTGAAAGGCTTTGATTAGACTGCTCTCTATTCGCTGTCTCCCTCCTTATTCAATTTCTCCCTCAAAGCAGGCATGCCGATGACTTTCTGCTGCACGTTTCCTCACCTTACCAAACACATTGTTGAGAGAAAGGGTTGAGTGTCATCACAGCTGCAAAGTCTTTGCATTTACTGATGTGTGAATTGTTTTAAAATTGCCCAACTTATGGAATGTATACAATCTCCATACGATACATTTATTACGCTTTCAGGAGAGCAATTACATCAGGAAAATTTCTTATACTGAACAACCAAATCTTCAAATGCTTGATCTGGCTGTCTCACATTCACATATTTTTTTCACTTCATCTTGGGGCTCCCCTTTCTCAAGACTCTTGTAAAATGTTTGAAGGTGGGGGCTTGTGTTCTAGTGCAGTCACTTTATGGCTTTTTGCAGGTTTGCCAATGATAGCAGGCATTCTAATGCAAAATTCCTCTGGTCTCCTCTGAGTGCTGTCGTCAAACCAATCACACACACACACACACACACTCCGACTGCTGTTAGTGTGTGCTTCAGACAGATTCCACTTATGTCCTCCAGTGTACCTGCCAAGCATTAAATCCCATCATGGCCTGCATGTATTAGAGAGTGAAAGATTTGGTGTGAAAATATGTTGTTATGTATTTGCATTTGATTTGTCAGCGGGCCTGGCAATTTTAGGTCTTTCCTCCATATCGCATCTTTTCAAGTACTGTGTCCTCTGAAGTGTTTGCGTGACTGACTGGAAGATAGAAATCTAATTCAGTTGGCAGGGAGTTCCGCTTTGTACGCCACTTTACATTACAGCTCAGGGCTCTGTCCTGCAGCAAAGTATTTTCTCACAACGCCGACTTGTCCTCTCTTTGCTTGTTCTCAATTCCTTTTCTCTTCTGTCCTCCCATAACCCCCTGTCCTCGTTTGGGTTTTTCTCTGCAGGCCAAGTCGTGCATCTGTCACATGTGTGGCGCCCACCTGAACCGACTCCACTCTTGTCTCTACTGTGTTTTTTTCGGCTGTTTTACGAAGAAGCACATCCACGAACACGCAAAAAACAAGAGACACAATCTAGGTAAGCCACTCACTCCCTCAGTAAGTGTTTCAGAAAGTATTACCATATAATGTTAACTTTTTTTAATAATATGTGTCTTTAATTTTTTTTAGCTTATTGTTGTTGTTTTAAATGATTATATATACAGAAAGAGATGTTGAAACAAATGATTAGTAAGCTATAAATGTATTTGTTCTGCATTTTGGCCCAGCTTTCACCTGCACAATTGCCCAATCATGGTACATCTCAAAACTAACATAAGCATCCATCCATCCATCCATCCATTATCTATACACCGCTTAATCCTCACTAGGGTCGTGGGGGGGCTGAAGTCTATCCCAGCTGACTCAGGGTGAAGGCAGGGGACACCCTGGACAGGTTGCTAGTCTGTCACAGAGCCACACATAGAGACAGACAACCAAGCACACTCACATTCACACTCACGGACAATTTACAATCACCAATTAACCTCAGCATGTTTTTGGACTGTGGGAGGAAGCCAGAGAACCTGTAGAGAACCCACGCTACACGGAGAACATGCAAACTCCACACAGAAAGATCCCGGGCGTCCTAACTGGAACACGAACCGGGGATCTTCTTGCTGCGAGGCAACGGTTCTGACCACCGAGCCACCTTGCAGCCCATAAGCAAGCATGCAGATTGTAGAATGTCTCAAAGATAAGGAAATGGTAGAGAAGGCAGGGAGCTGAACACTGGTGATTTGGAAATGTGTGCAAGATATCCAGGCGACCTACGAAATGCAACAAACCATTACCATCCCATGGAATATACAGAAACCTGCAGTTGTTTGCACTAGCAGTCAATTAGTAACAGTGGTGATGTTAGTTCAGACCTCAGCAGTTGCGTGTGTTTGCCTTTCAGTCAGTTCAGTCTTTTCTGGCATAGGATAGTTGTTTAGTTGTTGGCTAATTTAGAGACTCATTTTCCCCAAATTTTACATTTTGATATTATATATATTATTATTTTTATATAATATGTATTTTGTTATTACGATGTCACATATGACGGTAAAAATAACTGTCAGTGCTAGTGCAGTCTGACTCATCAGATGTAGGATGCAGGTGTAGGCCGGCCTTTACTTCCTTTCGTCAGCTGGCTTTCTCTTTCCTTTCACTATCTGCGTGCTACTGTTTTCAAATTCCACTTTGCTCTGGGAATTGACGACACCAACCTCCAAGCTCGCACCCTCCACGCTAAAATTCTTTTTGCAGTTTTGCCAAGGCTTTGGATTATGCAGTAAGGCACCCCTGCTAGTTTTTTTAGGAGAATTTTCCAATCTAATGATAGAGCTCATCTCTCTGCATGTGAATGTTCCACCACAACAATTCCCCCGTCACTATATTGTAGCGCCACCCTAGACCACTTGAATTGGTTTAAAGAAATACAAACAAGGCAGAATGTTTTTTTTTCTTATAGTAGAATATAGTGAGGTGCAGCCAGACTTTTCTGTCTTAAAGAAATGGGCAACGAAACCCAGTTAGCGTCTAACCCGGGGTGGGCAATCCTGGTCCTCGAGGGCCACAATCCCGCATGTTTTAGATGTTTCCCTCTTCCAACACCTGATTCAAATGATCAGGATCGTTATCGAACTTCTGCAGAGCTTGATGATGAGCTGAACATTTGAATCAGGTGTGTTGGAAGAGAGAAACATCTAAAAAATGCGGGACTGTGGCCCTTTAGGACCAGGATTGCCCACCCCTGGTCTAACCACAAGTGCAATAGTGCAGAGTGTGAAGTACAGATATATTGTTAAACAAACAAACTATATATATATACACATATATAAACTATGGTATTTAAATGAATATATGGCATGGTATATATTTACAAATGGATATGTGCAAATTGTAGGGCTGCAAGTTTGCACAATTGGTTAGCACTGTTGCCTCGCAGCAAGAAGGTCGCCGGTTCGCGTCCCGGAATCTTTCTGCGTGGAGTTTGCATGTTCTCCCCGTGCAGCGTGGGTTCTCTCCGGGTTCTCCGGCTTCCTCCCACAAGTCCAAAAACATGTTAAGGTGATTCTAAATTGTCCGTAGGTGTGAATGTGAGTGTGCTTGGTTGTCTGTCTCTAAGTGTGACCCTGTGATAGACTGGCGACCTGTCCAGGGTGTCCCCTGCCTTCGCCCTGAGTCGGCTGGGATAGACTCCAGCCCCCCCACGACCCTAGTGAGGATTAAGCGGTGTATAGGTAATGGATGTATGGATATGTGCAAATTGTATCTTTGGTGCAGTGGACATTAAAAAATTAAATAATCTGTAACAATAGCAAACAGTAATCAAAGTGCAATGTATAATTAGCGCAGATATTGGGTACATATCCAAATATCGACCAATGTTAAAAAAACAAACAACCAAAAAAAACCCCAAAAAACTGTTTTGATATTTTCATATCACTCAACCTTACTTGTACGTATGTAATTAGTTCTCAGGTCTCACTGAAAGAAGAGATCTTGAACCCAATGAGATTTCCTTTGTAAATAAAACTTAACTTAAAATTTTGGGCAGCTTCCCCTGCTGAACAGTCAGGGGAGCTGAACCTCAGTCTCGCTGCCGCACATCACAATTCCAGTGGGAGTCAGTCAGATGTCATGGGTTTACGGTACTACTATCGCCTTCATCCAGCAGCAAGGTGGGAGGAGTGGTAGGCTGTTTTAATCCACAGCTACCAGACACCCTCGTTTCAACCATGCTAATTATGCAAATGAAACTAATAAGCAAGATTTTGATATTACCCCGATGAGGACAGCTAAATATAGAAACAATGGAGACAATGAAGTGACTTGGTAGTTGTCTTAATAGCTTTAATTGATTTAATGCCTTTCAACAGTTTGGTTACACACACAGCCCCCAGTGCAGGGCTACAGTGTTAATTAGCTTTGAGCTTTCCACAGGAGCCCCTCTGACATTGGCACTCTGTTCATCTCTACCTCTAATCAAATTAATCCAAACTCCTGCTAGACTACTAGAAAGCAAGCTCCCTTCTCAGGGCTGCTTTTTCATCTTTTTTACTTCCCGTTCATAACTGCTTCACTCTCAGGAGTCTTTTCATAGCTTCTTCCACATCACTTTTTTTTAAAAATATACCTCATTCTCTAGTCCTCTTTCCTCATCCTGTCAGTCTTTGCTCTTGTCCTTCACTCAACTGAGCAAGACAGATGAAGTCCTTTTAATGTCTCTTGCAGTACTCGCTGAATACATCTTGTCTCACTGCCACTTGTGTTGCTCTAATTTTTTTTTTTAACTGGGTGTTGAGGAGAGCATGGTTTCTAAACGTAGCTACACTTCACCAGAGATAACAATAATGACAGAAAGATTATCGTGTTCATCTGGTATTTTTTTTCCCTTTTCTTATGCATTATATATATATAGCATATATGTAACAGTCTAAATATATATAACGAAAGTTTGAATATATGGAATGAAAGTCTGAATATATATAAAGAAAAGATGGCGGCACGCATAGATACAGCAGCCCCTTCCGTGAACAGAGAGAATGAGTGTTTTGAGGGTCTTGTCTATCCCAGACGTTCTTTCCAGAAAACTAGCCGAGAGACTTTGCTGAACATCAGGGCAATGAACGTCGCTATAATTGTGGCGGCCACTTGTGATTTGGACACACTACACCAACACGGAGTCCGATCAGAGACTATACCGGCAGTTACCCGAGAGAGAAGGAAACGCCAACGGTACACACATAAACAAAGGAGGTTCCAACACTTTATGGAGAGGGTGTGAGGAGTCCCTGACAATATTCAGTGTCCTGCTTCTGCAGCGACTCTGGAAAAGTTCATAGCTAGCTGTCTGTCTGTCTGCCCGCATGGATCCCGGCTCTCTTCCTCGTCCTTTGTTAACGTTCGTACCGTTTGCACTTCCTTCTCTCTCGGGTAACTGGCGGCACAGTCTCTGATCGGACTCTGTGTTGGTGTAGTATGTCCAAATCACAACCGAGCGCCACAATTTTAGCAGTGTTCATTGCCCTGACGTTCGGCAAAGTTTCTCGGCTGTAAGTTTTGTGGAATGAACAACTGGGATAGACAAGACTCTCAAAATTTTCACTGCGTCTATGTGTGCCGCCATCTGTATGTAAACCCAAAGAGATTCGTTATATATATTCAGATTTTTATTCCATATATTCAGACTTTAATTATATATATAATTTCCCAAATGGCATGCCATATATATATACACACACACACACACACATACAGCGCCCTCCATAATGATTGGCACCCCTGGTTAAGATGTGTTCTTCAGTTTCTAGTAAATTCAGTTTTTGTCTAAATAATATAGGACCACAATGAAAAAAAGAGGAAAATTCAACCTTTAATGAAGTGCATTTATTCAGTGTGAAAAAAAATCCCACATTAAAAAATAATTCTTTTACATCAAATCATGTGTGCCACAATTATTAGCACCCTTGATGTCAATACTTTGTACAACCCCCTTTTGCCAACAATTCATTTGAGTTGAGTTGAAGGTTACATTTTTCTACAATTTTCAGTGTGAGAGTTTGCTTCTGCAATAAAAATTGAATTTCTTTTAAGGCTTTTAACACATCTTAACCAGGGGTGCCAATAATTATGGAGGGTGCTGTGTATACATATATATATATATATATATACATACACAAATACAAAAAAAACCCCACCAGTGTGATGACAACACAACATACACGAGTCAGGTTTTATACATGATGTGTTAGCTCAATTTCTCAGTGTGGGTAGTGCCAAAAACAGAAAAATGTCCAGTTAAGCTAAAAATAGGTTGTCACGGCAACAGAGCTGAGGTATTGTTGCTGTGGAGTTTGAGAATGGAAAAGGTGGTGTGTCTTTGTAGGAAGCACAGGTGGGGGTGGGATACAAATACACCTATCAGTGCTCCCCTCACATCTCCTGTAATTGTTCCGTACAAGCAATGAGATGGTAGCATATTGCAGTGATCGAAAAGTGTAGGGAGGAGAAAGCTTTTATCTTAATGCTGTTTGTGCCAGTGAGGTTGGACAGAAAAATAAAACCCAATGTGTATTACTGTGCAAGAAGAATCTATTTGTAATTATGTTGCAATCTCTCTCCTTCTCCTCTCTTCTTCCTTCCCGCTTCCAGCAATAGACTTATTATACGGTGGAATATATTGTTTTGTGTGTCAAGACTACATATACGACAAAGACATGGAGCAGATTGCCAAAGAGGAGCAGAGGAAAGCCTGGAAATTGCAAGGTATAGCATCCTGCTTTCTGTCAGAGAAATTAATACAGCTTTTGAAATTAGGCCATCTGACATCTGGGTGCCATCACATTTGTGTTTCTTTGTATCCACAGGCATAGGAGAGAAATACACAACATGGGAGCCAACCAAGAGGGAGCTAGAATTATTACGACACAATCCAAAGCGGAGGAAAATCACTACGAACTGTACCATAGGTGGGCAATAGACTGCACTGCTCAGTCTGCGAGTCTTAAACATCACAGCTTTTCATACTTAGACGGTTGCGCATGTGTGTGTGAGAGTACTGTGGGGATTCTCCGTTGCTCTGTGTGTGTACGTGTGCCTATGGCGCAAGTGTACTTGGGGTCACTCATGCATTTAAGTGCGATACCCAAGGTCAACAAGGCTGGGCAGCCCCACAGGCAGTGCACTGGGAGAGGCAGAACACAATGTTCCCTCTCTGATAGATGCACAACACAACAGGCCTGAATTTGTCTCTGTGTTTCCCCAGAACTTGCTTTGTGTCTGTTCTGTCTTCTCATTTATCTATTGCTTTTTTTTTTTTCTTCTCTGTCTCTCTTTTGTTGTGTCTCTAATTTTGTCCATGTACTGAATTCACCATTCTCTCTGCCCCCTTTTGTCTGGTATCCTTCAGTCTCTTATATCTTCTAACAGCGCGGTTGGCCTTCCTGATTGGGCAGTGTCTTTATGTATGTGTGCACGCCAGGACTAGTCTGAAGTGTTTAAGCTCTTACTGAGCGCTCTCTTCCAAAACTAAACCTTGCTCAACTGGAGTAGAACCAAGACCTTGCTGTGTCTCACCTGTTCTACTGGCCGTCAGTGAAGGGCTTTACTGTCTCACACTAAATGAATTCATTCACAGTTTTGGAGTCTTTTCCAGGATACACACAGTTTTTCTGGCAGACCTGACTCAACTTTCTAGCCATGCAAACAGTGTCAGTGGTCTTAATGTTTACTAATTAGCCTTGTATATTTAGATGTATGTACTACATGCTGTATAATAGGTTTAATTTTAAATGGATTAATATCCCTATTTTCACCATCAGAGTACACTAAGCAAAACACGATAACGAAATGTTTGCAAATTTCGTAAAAAAATAAAATCCTCTTATTAAGACACAATTACACCTTAAGTCATGATTATCTTTATATTTGTGATGTGTTTACAAGGTGCCACAAGGTGCACAATTCAACTAAATCTCAAACCAAGCCCAAGGAACTGTCTTTTGGACTGTGGGTGATAAAATCGTGGTGAGCCATAGATCAGGGCAAGGCTATAAAACCATTTCTAAACCTTTGAGTGTTCCCAGTAGCCCATTGGTTCAATAATTGACAGCTTCAGAAGTTCTCATGGGAGACAACCGTCTTTACAGCATTCCATAAAACGGGCCTCTATGGTAGAGTGGCTGGATGGATACCACTGTTGATTAGAAGACATATGACAGCTTGGACTCTGCCAAACATCATTTAAGGCACTCCAATAGCATGAGGCGAAACATTCTTTCGTGTAATGACTAAAAAAACTTTAGATTTTTTAAATTAACTATGTGTGGGACACAGCAGGCACTGCTCATCTCCTGGCTAATACTGTTGTTGTTGGTGCGTGGTGGTGGCAGCATCAGGCTATGGGGGTATTTCTCAGTGGCAGGGACATAGGAAACTGTCACATCTTAGTGAGAGATAACTGCACGAGAGTGACCGCTCACCTTTTCAGCACGACCACGACCCAAAGCTTGAAGCAACTGCAATGCTGGTATAGCTTTGAATAAATCTCTCACTGTCTTTGACTCGTCACACCAAAGCCCACACTTAAAACCCACAGAACAGCTATGCAAAGACCTGAAAATGGCAGTTCACAGATGGTTCCTGAGAGGATTTGACAGTAAGAATGGGATCCACTGGCCAAATCCAGGTGTGGATGTTACTGAAGACTTACCCAAGAACATTTTAAACTGCACATTGGAGCTCAAGGGGCTTCACAGTGTACTAGGGGTCTGAATGTTTTAGTAAATTAGAGATTACATATTTGCAAAGTTGTTGATGAAACCTTTCATAACTCTCTCATTATGGGTTAGTGAGTGTAGGTTAATCAAAAATGGTGATTTTATGAATTTTATGAATTTAGGATTAAATCAACAACAGAACTGTGCAAAAAATGAAAGATTCTGAATACTTTGAGTCTACCATATGAGTGGGTACATATAGGTCTGCAACTACCAAATATTTTAAATATTTTTTAAGCTGGCAATTATTTTTCTAATTAACTGTAAAAATGCCCATTGTAATATCCTAGAACCAAAAGTAATGTCTTCAGATGCTTGTTTTGTTAAAAACTTAAAGATATTTCAAAGATATTCTGTCTACTAGCACATCACATTCAGAACAGCAGCACCTGAGAATGTGTAATAAGGTAGCATTTGACATTTGATTTAAATTGGTTAAGACATCATTAAAATATTAGTATTATTTGCAAGGTTCTCTGGTTACCGATTCATTAATGCTGTCTATTTCTGTTGGTTTCTAAGAAGGAAGTTCACTACAGTTACTACTGAGTCCAAACAAACAGAGAATGATCAGCTTACTGTCATACCATTGCCATGTTATTCTCATTTTTGTCCTCCTTTTCTTCTTGTCTTGCAGGTTTACGAGGGTTAATAAACCTGGGCAACACATGTTTCATGAACTGTATTGTACAGGCCCTAACACACACACCACTGCTGCGAGACTTCTTTCTCTCTGACAGACACAAGTGCGAGATGCAATCAAACTCCTGTCTGGTTTGTGAGATGTCGCAGCTCTTTCAGGAGGTATGCAATATTTGTGTGTCTGTATTTAGTACATAGGTTTGTTAAGTCTCACAAAAAAAAGAAAAAAACGTGGTTTTACTCAACACACAGCCATAACTTGAGAGTTTTTGTTTTTTTGAACAACTATGCAATACAGAATATTTCTTGGAGTGTAAACCCACCGCAGAGGTCTGAGTCACTGTTGCGCTTTTTTGTTGAGTCCAAAAAGAAAGGCAGAGTGGAGGGATAAAATGCTGCCTGAAAGGAATGTACAGAGCCATGTACAAGGTAATAAGTAGAATGCAGTAATTAAACTCATACAGTCAGTGCACATTACATCACACAGCCATGTGTACAGCCTTTGCTACAAAGGTTTTCCTTTTCATGTGCAACAAACTCATCAACCGAAAGTGTTGCATAATGGCTGCCTGATCTGCTCCCACACTGTCTTACTTTCTTCTTACACCCTCTCACTTACTAGTATGTATAGACCCACAGATGGCAAGTGGTGTTATAATGTGTGATGAGTTGATTCATCACCACCCCCCACCCCCCACCCCCCACAACACACACAGAATGCAGAGTCCTGTGTGTTTAGCTGTATAACACGAGGGAGGTAATTGCTTACCTCTATCACCCAGGGAGGCAGATGTTAATTGAGTCTGTTTCTGTCTGAGGCAGAAAGTTTAGGGTCATTTTCATTTTTTCTAATTTTTTTATTTTATGAGAAAAAAATCCTGACATATGCAGAATTATTGCGCATGTCCAACTCGCGTCCTTTTCATCATCAAAAGTTATCATCCGACTTTGCAGACACACTCAGGCACAGCTTTTTAGGTTTAAATAGTAAAGAGGTGCGGCCTGTTTTGATCAGCCACTTTCTCTCTTTCGCTCCCCCACTTCCTCCTCCTCTTGTATTATCTTTTGTTTGTCAGCCACCTTTAAACTGTCGAGAAGGGGAAGAGTCTGTATGATTCAAAAAGAAATGTCGGCATGTTTTTCCTTCTCACAGCTGAATCACACTTCAGAGAGAACTGTGGAGAATAAAATGAGATGTGTGCAACATCTGCGTGACGAGAAATGAAAGCCAGCATTAATGAGCTCTCGTTGAAACTTTATAGGACTGTTTGCACTCTACCAGCTCTTGCGTTCTACTCAGCTCTGTTGCTTTCTTATCCGCATCTTTTGACCCTGACCTGGATTGTCACTCACTCGAATTCCCATGTCAACCCAGAGACTCTGCAACACTTAACAGATGGATGTTTTTGCTCCAAGCCCTCCTCTTTTCCAGCCATCCACTTTGACTTCTCTGTCTTGCACCTCACACTTCCCCTCTCTGTGGATGTGCTGTCATTATAGCTGGTGCAGTTCGGTGACATGTGTTGGAATTCATTCATGTCTGACGAGACCTGTCAAAAGAAGTGATCAAAAGGGTTGGATCACCTCCACTAATAGAACATTTGTGTTATGTTCAACAGTAAATTATAGATGGATCGTGAGTAATGTACCAATGAGATTGACAGAAAAGTGAGAAAATAACACACTTACCAAAACTTGGAAAATAGGTTAACCCACCTCTCTGTTCCACCCCCACCTCCTCTCCTATCTCTCCTCCCTGCTTTCAGTTCTACTCGGGCCACCGTTCGCCCCACATTCCCTTCCGGCTGCTGCACCTGGTGTGGACTCACGCACGTCATCTCGCAGGCTACGAGCAGCAAGATGCCCATGAGTTCCTCATCGCAGCATTGGATGTACTACATAGGCACTGCAAAGGAGACACCATCAGTAAGCTTCACCTGAATCCCTATGACCAATGACAAAGACTTTTAGGGTCAAACATTACACTAAGTTGTCCTAAAACACATTAAGCTTGAGGGCTGATTTTAGTTATTTGTCACATGTGCATTCTGAATTATTTTCTGTCAGGCTAAGATAGCAGTTTTTTTCTGAATGGTCTAAGAACAATGTCAGTTGAGAATGACAATGTGTCGGTGGCTGAGCCACCTTCTGCCACTGATGCGGCATCTGGAATTATACATTAGATCTACCCACGGAGCACACTGCCTTATTTCTCTGGAAACACCCTGAAGGAGACTGACAATGGTGTGCACCAAGGGGACAAGCAAGCAAGCAGTGTGAGGAATGTCAATAGGCCCTGCTGCAGTGCAATAGCAGTCTGAGTCACCCCCAGACCCAGCAGTAACGCTTGCTCTGATTGGCTAGAGAGAATCCATAGCATTGTAAAGTAGCAGAGAAGTACTGCTGAAAAGTGAAGTGAGAAAGTGCCAAAGAGGCTGGTGGAGGTGGCGCGTGTAGATTTTTACTTCCTGTTCTGTGTCCTGCAGGAGACGACAATGGGAAGAAGGCCAACAATCCAAATCACTGTAACTGCATCATTGACCAAATCTTCACTGGGGGCCTGCAATCGGATGTTACCTGTCAAGTTTGCCAGTAAGTTTGTGTGTCTAATGTGTTTGTGGTGTAAAAACGTGTCAAGATGCAAAGGACAATTTGTTGAAACTAAATCACATCTAAAGTGTTTGCTGCCCATTCATCTTGATGGAGCATCATGTGACCACTTGTATGCCTCCACTTATTCATCCATCTCTCTCTGTTGTCGTCCAATACTCACCTCTCACCACCGGGTTGATTGAAGTGGACACTATCTATCCTCTCACAGTGGCAGAACCACTGGTTGTGTCCTCGCCACTGCTCTTATTCAAAGGCCCAGTCCCTGCAGAGCTGCTTTAATGGGGGTTGTCTAGACAGCAGCGCAATCCAAGCGTTGCCTGCCTGCCCCCTAGAGCTGTCCTGTCACATTAACACTAGCACGCTGCACTGAACTGCAAAGCACCTCGCCCAGACTAGCAGGCAAGCCTTACTGCAGTGTTACCTGCATCCACAGTGAAAAGAGACAGTGCTGATGGAGAATTAGTGATTCTGTTTTGTGTGTCATTCTGACAGTAAGTCAAACCCCTTTATAATTATTAATAGTCTTATTGACAACACATTACCACTGGGTAAGCCCTTAAGCAACGCACTACAGTATCTGAGGCGTTCTAACAGCAGAGGCACCATAATGGTGCCATATTACTGCAGGGTTACTCTGGCATCACTGTAAATGCCTATTTGCCTTCTTAGCCACCCACTGGCACCTCTGGGTATTACAAAACCATGACTCATCTAATCAACAGTGATCATGCGTGGCAGCCCATCTTTGTGTGTATATCTTTACATATACTTGGTTCATTCTCCACTGGATGCCTCCATTTTGCCCAGGCTACGGTCCTTCACGGTCATTGGGCTGTACTAATACAAATTCTTTATGCAAAGCCATTTTTTTTTTCTGATGTAACACTTCATTGAATTGCAAATTGACCTGAAACAACAGTGTGGATATTATGCACATGCACACATTCAATCTCCCAGCGAGCTTAAACAAAAACATGATCAGAATCTGCCAAGGCTGTGTGAATTTAAGCTCACGTATTGCCATCTGTGTCATCATCCTCCTATCATGACCTGTTGTAAGTGACACACAAAGCTACACACTGCTTATTAAACATCCTAATTGGACTCCCTTCTTCTTTTTTTTTTTTTTTTTCTGCAGTGGGGTTTCCACGACGATAGATCCATTCTGGGACATCAGTCTGGACTTGCCTGGCTCATCCACGCCTTTCTGGCCCCTTAGCCCTGGAGGGGATGGCAGCACAGTCAATGGAGAGAGCCACTTGTCAGGATCCACCACGCTTACAGATTGCCTGCGCAGGTATACCTTCGGTCTAAGCTAGCACTAGACAGCTTGCCTTATTTTTCCATTCTTTGGAAAAAAAACAAAACCCAAAAAACACCCTTTGCTTTTGACCTATTTATCTGTCAAACACTATCAACACTATTTCTCAGTCAATTAGGCCGGGGAATATTTTCTAATGCTAAATTAAAGGGGCTTCTTTTGAAAAACCCAGTGGTCAGATGCAGCTGGTGTGCAGAGCTACTAAAAGTTGCGTTCCGTTGTGCTGATGGACAATAACGGCAATAGTATTTAAACATTATTGGATAGAAATGAATTATGGTCATAGCATTTTAAAAGAAAGTGAGGTGTTACCACTCTTTATCTATTGTCTTTCAGCCGTAGCCAAGCAAATTTAATTCATCCCTTCACTTGTATGAGGGGTCACATATGGTGTCTGCTCAGGCACAAGAATTCTGTTATCCTGAGATCTCATCTTCCTCCATCGCCAGGTTGACAGAGCAGGTGTGACCTCTCATATCTCCTCCACTGCCTCTTCATTCTTGCAATTTCTTTTCCTCTTCTCCTTATCTTATGTCATTCCCTCTCCTCTCTACCTAATTCCTTTTCTCCTGTGCCCTCACTCTCTACCTCTCACATTTGTCTCATCCTCCCCCTCTCTTTTTCTCACCTTCTTTCCTGCTGACTTTTTTTTTTTTTTTTTNCCTTCTTTCCTGCTGACTTTTTTTTTTTTTTTTTTACCGCAGCTCCTCGCACACCCCTAGTTGCTGCAGCAAGTGTCTTAAAGGTACAGAACTGGTTGGTGCTGTTGCCATGGCGATAGAGGCGTTGGCAGTACCAGCAGGGCTTTGGGCTGGGTGAAAACAGTGGGACTGCACCAAAACCCTGCTGGCTGGCTTATTATACAGGCCTTCAGATTAACTTTGAGTGCGAGATTTTTGACTGCAGAGGTGCGTTTGGGTGCATACTCTGACAAAACCTGAAACATCCATCCCATACAGAAACCATTCCAGCTTTCTTCCTCTTTCTCCCAGTTTGCAGACCTGTGCGTTCTCCACTCTTACACATCCTTTCTCTTCTCTTTTTATTCCATCCCTTTGCAGGTTTACACGGCCCGAGCATCTAGGAAGCAGTGCCAAAATCAAGTGTGGTGGTTGCCATAGTTACCAGGAGTCTACCAAACAGCTGACAATGAAGAAGCTCCCCATCGTAGCATGTTTCCATCTCAAAGTGAGTCAGCCAATGACAATGTGCTGCCAACTATCACTCATTACATTATCTGTCACTGTCTAACAGTTTGATTATTTAAGGATACACTGAGTTTCACATCAGTCACACATCTAATTTTGTCAGTCATCACTTCAAAACAGCAGAAATATACCAACCTAGAAACTTTGTAAATAATCCTATGTTATGTGGGTTAAGTCATCATTCAAATTTAGCTTTTACAAAAAAAAAACATTTCATGCAAGGTTCAGATTTTGCATTAGCTCAGCTGACTGCTGCATTGCTTGTGTGTGGTGGTTCAGGATCAGAAAAGCTTTATTATTCCCTGCAGGGAAAAGGCAACAGTTGCCCAAGGTTGTGGAAAAATAAAATTATAAAACTTCAGCAGAAAGATGAGGACATTTAAACCGCATAGCCACAGCTGGTCCAGGCTCCTGTCATGTCTAGTAGGGCAGGTTTGTGATTAAAATCTCTGGAAATCATGAAGGAGTGCAGAGCCCAGAGTCCTGTGGTTTTAACAACATCCAGGGTGGCATGTGAAGTCTCCATGGGTATGCAGTATGCATGTAGCCCAACTGCTAACAGTCAATGTCTGGCGTGCAGACATGTGACCAAGGTGGCACCGTTTGTTGTTAAAGAGAGTCACAAGCCTTTCATCCCTTGCCTTGCCACCCTGGGAATTTATTCCTCTCTGCCCAAACTGTCCAAAAGCCATTGATGGTGATGATGGAATACTGTTTCCCTATAACCAATATCACGGTGAAACACTACACTCATGAAAGTCCTCGTGATTCCTCACCAAGGCTGTTAGCTCGTCCATCTTATTGTTAATCTCACATTTCTCATTTTAGTTGTTTGTGCGTTCCCTCTTACTGTGTAGCACTTTCATACAGTGTCCCAGGACACCTATGGTTTTAATGACTCATACAGTCCTCCACTGTCCATGTTTTATTTATTGTAAAGTACTAGAGACCTATAATGTATTTATGATATTCATAGGAACAGGCTGAACGACGATTGTCTTAGATAAATCCAAGCCTGTTATTATATCGTTATGAATGTGTAAAACTGCGACAGCCTGTCAGGAAAACATGCAATTCTACTTTTCACTCGATGTGTTGTTTTCTTCTACATTGTAATGATGATGCCTGTTGTTTCTAAATGTGTTTCTTCTCCCATCTCTCCCATCCCCACGCCCTTCTCTTTTCCTTGCCATTTTTCTGCCCCTTCCCCCCTCTCCTGTCTCCTCGTCCCTCTCTTGCCCTCTCCAGCGATTTGAGCACTCTGCTAAACTGCGGAGGAAGATTACTACATATGTTTCCTTCCCTCTAGAGTTGGACATGACACCCTTCATGGCATCCAGGTGAGATTACCACAGATATCAGTGTTTTTTTTTTTTGTTTGTTTGTTTGTTTTTACTATAGAACAGCTTATCTTTCCATGTTCTGCAGTAAATATCGTTGATGTAAGGTAACAGAATTTTGTCACATCCAGCAGCAGCAGCAGCAGCTCTTCAGTTTATTTATTGTATTTTTGTAATGCACTTACAAGGACATACACAAACACAAACAATCATTATCATGCCAAAACAGCTTTATTAAATGCTCTCTATAAATATACATCCGTGTCAGTAGAGCGTGCAGCAGCAGGCATGCCCCACCCCTCGATGTAGGATCCATTCAGCTCTGTTCATAGACAGAAAGATCATTAGTGTACAGCCCCAGAGGTGATCTGCTTGCATAGATGGTATTATTCTGCCACCTAGTGGATTTCTGTGTCAGTGTTGCCTGTTTATGCATACATGTAATATTAAAACTTGTTTTTTTCTTTCTTTTTCAGTAAAGAGAGCAGAATGAACGGGCAGTATCAACAGTCGGTTGATGTATTAAACAACGACAATAAGTGAGTACATTAGGTTATGTGTATTACAGCAAACTAATTTATTAACACTCCATTCACAGCAGTTGTACAGCAGCACTGACATCATTGGAGAAATTTTAACTGTAGCACAGCAGCAAATGCTAATGACCCGAAGCATCCGGCTGTGACTTCCCCTAATTAAATCAGTTTGAAGCCTATTAAAAGCTGCTTAGTTTTCTTCATCCATGGCAGGTTTCATTTTCCAGGACATTTACTGAGAATTTACTGTCTTAACAAAACCGACAGGTTGTCTTGTGGTAAAGACACAAGATGCTATTCAGAATGCTCTTTGTTGAGGTCTCTGCAGTGTGAAAAATTACCTTAAAGAGCAACAGTGCAGGGTTTTGAACAAAAGCAAGGCCTTTGTGTATGGGAAGGATAACGGGGTTTATGAGATACTGATGTTTAAATGACACAAAAAGAACAAACTCAGAGAAGCATGAGCCTCTTTATTCACTTTTGTTTCTAGGTATTCCTTGTTTGCGGTGGTCAACCACCAAGGCACATTAGAGAGTGGCCACTACACCAGCTTCATCCGGCAGCACAAAGACCAGTGGTTTAAATGTGATGACGCCATAATCACCAAGGCCAGCATTAAGGATGTACTCGATAGCGAAGGGTAAGAGTGGAAACAAAACATCAAAAGTTCTATAAAATGTTCAACTGTATGAGATCCTAATAGATTTTTTTCTTTCTCCCCTCAGGTATCTTTTATTCTACCATAAACAGTTTCTTGAGTATGAGTAGTCTTCGTGACCACTGACCATAAAGAACCACTGCTTCTAATGAGAGAGTCAAGGGACTGGGGACAGGATGAAACGCAAACACACAAACCTACCTGAAACTTTTTGACTACCAGTCTGCTCCTCCAAGCTCTGGAGGACAAAAATAAAAAGACGTGTAAAATCATGCAACCTTTTAAAAGAATAAAAAAAAAAACAAGCACTGAGCTACTTCTTGGCATCTACTTGACAAAACTGAATGAAGAGGAGAGAAGGAGGAAGAGTCGGGCACCGTCAGATCCAGGCTTGGGCAGAGGGAAGAGGCCCCACATCCCTCACTCTCTCTCCCTTCCCCTTCCTGCTGCAGGGGCAGAGTCTGAGCGCGACTGAACTGTCACGTTGATTGGGCACATCTGGATTTTTCCTACAGTATTCGGACCCCCTCCACTTCCCACACACCCTCCATGTTTCTCCCACGGTGCTCTCATTTCAACTGACCAAGCATTTAACTTAGTCATGATGGAGGACAGTATGTTGTCATATGCATATAGGACTGAACGCAAAAAAAGAAAAAAAAAAAAATTCAGTGTATTATGAACTTTGCAAGAACATTTTTAAAGGTATGGTTATGTTTCTTATCATTTGTGAATTTAGTTATGAAATACTGTATGACTCTAGTATACATCTATTTTTTAAGAGCAAAGAAAACATGGGAGAGCTTAGAGACGCTGCCTTTGCCAGTTGCTGGGGTAGCGCTGCCATGGAAACTAAAAAGATTTGGACCTGAGCGTTCTCATGTTCCATTATTTACTGTGTTGATTGTTTCATTTTTAAGTCTGGTTGAGGGCAGGGAATATCTATTTTTTTAGCAACTCATTGAATTTTTGTTTACTGTTCTTTTCAGTGTCTTTTTTTTTTTAATAATTATTTTCAGTACAGTCATATGTCCCTCGCTGTCCTGGTACTGGAAATGTTTTATGGACGTATTACACTTTCATTCTCGTGGAATTTTTTGGTATAATGATGGTGATGATTAATTGGCTCACCTTTGCTGTTTAGAAATTGTATGATGAATGTGAGCTTTGGGTTTTGTATGGCATTCTAAAGAGAAGACTCAATACAAGATCAGGTCCTATAATATGTGAGGATGATGTGTTCTCTCTTAATTGAACACCTTGAATGTTCTGTGCAACAAAACAGCCCATTTAACAACAATGCATGCAATTGGGCTCTCATGATCTTATAATATGTGAAGAATTGCCCTCAATTATGGCTCAAGGCTTTGCTGCCTGCCCATCATGACTTTTATTTCTGTAGTTTGGGGATGGGGGAAGGTGATTGTGTGCGATTTATAGAGAGTAAAACATTGCACATATATGGGCACTATGCGACCACAGCCTGGCTCTCAATCCATCAGTGTTAATCTTCTCCATGGCAACTGTGGCTGGTCTAGACCACCGTGGTTTGTGGTATGTCTTGCCTCTGCAGTGCAGTAAACCTAGTACTCTGTTCAATCAGTATGCTGTCAAGTCAGACTTTAGACACAACACACATATACATCAGGGTCTTGTTGTCACTGATTGCGTGTGTATGTATAAAAAAAAAAAATTTATAGAATTGAAAATTTACCTTCAAATAATAAATGAGGGCACGTACCTATCACAAAGTAATTCCACATGAAAAAAAAAAACACAGCCCCTGTTTGTTTAGCTGCTCTATAATTGAAAACAAACATGCATATCCTTTGGTCTGCTGCAGAGCCTCGGCTAGAGGAAACCAGTTGATTTCAGAAAGAGAAATCAAAGTGCAATGGTCACACTATGGTTTTGATCATGGAGCAGTTAAGGCCACCCAAGGACATTCAGGGACACAGCTGAAACGAAAAGGAAGAGGAGAGCTTCATTATCCGTTTCAGTGATTAAACTCAGAACAAAACTGGAATGTGTATGTGCTGTCTTTTGTCTCATTTTCCTTGTACACTTTCTCAGGAGGGCAAAATATTGTCAGATGTGAAGTGCTGCAGTGCATCTGAGCCGTACCAACTCAGAAAGTGGTGTTTAAAGCTGTATTCTGTACAGTACCTGTATTACCACCAAGGTTTTGTCATGGTACAGCAAGCGAGGACATAAAGAAAGGATATATATTCTCTTTTTGTCAAGCGTGGATAGCTTGAACACAGTGAAACGCGTGCAAACATGCTAAGCTCAGTGTTGTATTTCTGTTCTTTGAGCAGATGGAGCTATGCATATGATTATGGCGCCACTCTGTGGTCACACCAAGAAGCACAACAGTCTTTAGAAAAAAAAAACAAGAAGCCTGATTGTGAGCGATCAAGGCATGTAAACACATTCCAGACTGAAAAAGTAAAGAAATGAAAAGAAAAAAAAAGTTTTAATACTATTGTTAGGACATGCTGCACATTTTAAGGTAATTAGCAGACTTTAATATGACCTGAAATATATGACATGTGACTTAAACTTGCATTGTATTTGTGATTTGCAATGTCAAAGTTATTCTGGGAAAAAATGTGATGTGGAAAATTCTAACTTTAATTTGATGTAAGTATAACTTACCATTAATTAAACTTTTGAAGTAACTAAATTGGCATTTAATTTTAGTATTAGTGCCTTTTAGTATACACGTTCAGTTTTCTGATGTCGATATTCCACATTGTTGTACCACAAAAAATATGATTATGTTTCTTATTCTTTATTTAGTTTCAACACAGGCATACACAATCTCTGCTCAGAAAACTTGGTGTGTCAGCTGCTGTTTAACACAACAGAAACTGGAACAACATGGTATATAAACTTTCTACAGAAATGGTAAAACCTGCCATAAAAAAACACACTAACACTGACGGAACAAATATTAAATAGAAAATTGGCAATAAAATCTTACAAAATGCAGCTATATTATAACAAACAAAAAACACCAGAAAGTATGTATAGGCATTGTTTTAACGAGCCTTCATGAATACATAACATAGAGTAACACTTTTCTTTATAATATCTGCTACTATTATACATAATGCAATATGTCTGCTTTGTGCTGGCTTACATTTTGTACCAAACTCCAATGCAAAACTTTACACCTTTTTTTCCCCCCGGTTTTATATAACTGAGGTGTTTGGTTTTACAGCTTGGGGATCTTGATCCTGATATGCCCCTCTTTTTATTCTTTTTTAAAAAATGTTTCCAGTCATCCGAGCAATGTCTACATTCTTATTTCACGCCTTGAGTCATCTCTATTATTAACATCCTAATGAATGTTTCTATGCGACCAACACTCACTGTTGCTATAGACATTTAGGGCACTAGAGGCATCCCATGTCTTTCGATGGTAATAATAAGTTACAGTTCAGGAAAACAATTCAGCGACACTCCAGAGATTAGATATGGAATTTGATTAGTGGTGGCTCACAGGTCTGTCATGCAACACTCACACATGAAGAAGTTATATTTGCATTTTCAAAACAACATGCTTACATCAGTAGAAACACATATTCACGTTGGCTAGAGGCTGCTAGCTGAGATGTTCAAATCAAGACGAGACACTCACAGACACTCATTGATTCTTTTAGCATTAGTCAGAATCTACCACTAGCTTTGACGCACATGGGAGTGTCTGCACATGTAGCATAAATGATCAATAAACCGTAACAATAGCAATCCAACATTAGTAACAGACAGGGAGGCACAGGTTGTCCAGGTGACCAGCAGCCCTGTGGTGATGAAGATGATGATGATGATAAAGGAACACCACAACCTTTTGAGGAATAAGTGTTCTAGCCCTTCACAAATTTACATCACTCAGTCAGGCAGTGTCAGAACCCATACTTTAAAAATATAGCTTCCCAAATACCACACACTATAAAACAAGAGTGTCAGTAAAGATTACTATGAGGCAGTAGAAGACAAGTTTAGTCCCTTGTATTCTCAAAGAGGGGGCCACAGTACAATACTGGACATACTCCTGCTGAGTTAATGTCTTTTTATGGCTTCATTACCTCAACAACAGTGACCCACCCTCTTTTTACAACTCTACTCAAATACAGGGAAACTTTGGCCAGCAACCAGGTGACCTCTGACACATTCTGTAGGACTTCAGAGAGGATAAGAAAGAAAAGTGACATAATTGTTCATAAAACATTGTCTGGACAGCTTTGAGATGACATAAAAACATGAAGGTGAGTCATTATTCAAGATTCATAATGAATAATCTAAAATCACACGGTCCAGTATTTTTGAATAGAGAGGTTACTCTAACATCTGCAAGCAATGACAGCAGCAGTATTGTGTGATATCCCTAAATAATTGCACTGTAGATAAGCAATGACATGAAACAATGGCCCACATGAATTCAGTCCAGTACAGCAGGCAGGTGACGTCACTGTAGTTAATACTTTACAACACTGTAGTAGAGTTTCTACACATCTTAGCAGCACATTGGTTAAAGGCTGGCTTAAAACAGTTGCCAAGCCATTACTATTAATGGACTCTAAATGATGCATGTAGCTATAGTAAAGCAGGGAAAAAGTAAAAACAGACTCAACATTTACTTTTAACATTGTTATTAAAATTTACATTTCATACATTCGTACTACAAGTAAAAGGTCTCACACTAATTAGACAAAGACCACTGTGTTACAGAACATAATGACAAACACAACAGCACTAGCAGTCATTATTTTCAGTCTAAAAAAAAAAAAAAACATTATTTATTTACTAGTCAGATTCAAAGATTTAACAACACTAAAGATGAAATTCTCAGATTTCTTTATACAGTCACAGCCATTTTCTCTACAAGTATTTACAGTCAAACCACTTTTCAGAGAACATTAACTGGCAGTTTTATCAACGGTATGCTGGTTTAGAGCAAATCAGCACATTATTCTTTTACTATTTTCACACAGTAAAGAAATATGGAAACTTGGCACAGGCTCTCTGCTGTAAACTATGTATATAATCCTGCGTCTCCAAGGAAAATCCATGTCACCCAGGGGACCATTAGCCAGTGGGTGTTGGCGTCTGTTCTGACTTACCTTAGAGTCAGCACTGAGGACTGAGAAGAGTCAAACAGATTTCATTTACAGCCTATAAAAAGCATTTGATTGCACTTGTGATTTTGTTATAATGAACTTTTTTACAAACAGGGAATGCAAAATAAGTAACATTGGAGTCTGACAGTATCAGTTTCTGTTGTTTCTCTGTTCCTCTTAATAGGTTGGTTCGCTCTTGAATAATGTCCTTTCTGATATATTCTTAGAGAGACTGATGACTGTTTCTGAGAGGATCATTGTGCTCGTATATGTGAGTCTGATCACCTCAGATGCTGGTCTGCAGGTCACCATTCAGCAGAGTACTCTGGGTGTCTGTGGGGTCATTCATCATGCGGGATTTGTCCTGCCGGCTATCGCTGCGCTCAACCTCATCAAGCCCTCCCACCTTCTTAAGACACAGAACATTTTGGAAACTCTTCTTAAAGTTCTCTGATAGGAAGGCATAAAGGATGGGGTTAGCACAGCTGTTGGCATATCCTAGTACCACCACAAAAGCAAAGGTACTTCTCAGGATGGGAGTGGTGCTGATGGTGCCCGTTACTGAGGTGACGTTGAAGACGTAGAAAGGCAGCCAGCAGAAAACAAACACTGCCACCACAATGGACACCATCCGGGTCACCCTCCTTTCTGAGCGCTTCCTTTTGGAGGAACCCACACGAATGCCTGAGGACTTCACCTTAATGATGATGAACAAGTAGCAAAGGCAGATGACCATAAGGGGCAGGAAGAAGCCCAGAATGAAAGTGTAAAACATGAATGCGGTGTAGTAAGCCTCTTGAGGCTCAGGCCACACAATGGTGCAGAAGGAGCCATCTTGCTTTGTAATAATGCCGCTGTAGATAACGATGGGCAGATTAACCATCAGCGACACCCCCCACACTGTCAGGTTGATGGTCTTGGCCATACGCGGCTTGCGCCACTTTGTGGACTTAATGGGATGCACCACAGCCAGGTATCGGTCGATGCTCATAACCATCAGGCAGAAGATAGACGTGAATTGGTTCAGGGAGTCGACAGTCATCACTACCCTGCACAGCACGGGCCCGAATGGCCAGTGAACCAGTGCTAACTGGATGGCAATGAACGGCAGGCCGAGCATGAAGAGCACGTCGGCCACTGCCAAGTTGAGAATGTAGATGTTGGTGACTGTCTTCATCTTGGCGTAGCGCAGGATGACGTAGATGACAAGGGCATTCCCACAGAGCCCTACGGTACAGACCAGAAAGTACATGCAGGTGATGACCACTGTGCTGGTTCTGTTAAAGCTGTGGTCTGTGCGGTTCCCATGGAGGTTGGACTCATTGCCCTGCACGAAGCTGTCATACATGAGGTGCTCCGACAGATTCGGAGGGGATGATGGGAAGATCCAGGAGTCCATGATACCTCAGTTTCTTACTTTCTCACACTGGTTATGGCATTCCACCTGTTGACAACAAGAGCTTTGTCAGTAATAGTATGAAATACTGTGACTTAAGCTCCCTGTTAAAAGTGATTCTTCCCATCGTGACAGTTATGTTCTGACTGACAGAGAATGAAATCTTTATTCCTGTTAATATGGATTATGTTATTGATTTTTTTTCCCTCTCCCAGCAAAGGAAAATGGAGATCGAAGTCATCATTGTCATCAGATTGACTACTGAATGATGGATGTTAGTCTATCAGCCTAATTGATCTGAATGTAATAAATAGTAATCACATGGCATTTTACAATAACATTGTATGTAGGAGTAACAAGACACAATACAGTACTGTCTTCAGTGCTTTTGGGTGTTTCAGTTTACTTGTTTCCTTTTTCTGGTCACAATCATGGCCAGCAGTTTCGTAACAGAACTCATCATCTCTCTTGAGAACAGCCCTGATTGATAGCATGTCGAAAGAAGAGCACCTCAAGATCTAAGGCTGCGCTTTCCACCTGAAGACAGACCTTCCCTGAGTGTTTATTTGGTCAGGCTCACTGCTACCGAGGGAAATCACTCTGCACACCCCACAGTCATAAGCCGTCCCGGGGGAATTGCTTGCACTTCACATGCTGCTAAATGATCAGCTATGACAGGTTACGCCAAATTCGTTGCTGACACATTTTTCCAATTTATTAGGGGGTGGGTGTGGATGTAAATTAACCTCAGCGGAAGTAATTGAATGAGGGGAATCACTGGACTGCCAATAGCATCGCTGCAGTCAGATTGAAGTGCTTGTCAGTGCGAGTGCACAGGAGGCAAACATGGTATGACAACTTAGTTTGGTGCCAATAACATGAAAGGCTTTAATATGCCAGCTTGTCATTTTCTCCATAGCAGCAGGATGCGGTAGACGGTGCCTGCACATTTGTCTTCGATGAAAAGGCGGCTAATTGTTACTAAAAGAGATATTTGAGCTCAGTGACAACTAAATGTTTGCTATCTGAGTCAGGTGGAGGGACAAAATATCCCATAATGTGTCATTTGGAAACAGTGAACCATGTTTCATTTGGCTTGCATGAGATAAACAGTATGCTAATTATCTCGACAAAAACAGAGCAGAGAGATGACAACATAATGATCTCTGAGGCACTTCAGTTGCTGAAGGGAACAATAAATGAAATCATGAATCATTATACACTGATGGTTTGAGAGAAATGTTGACAAAATTGTGAAAACTCATATGTTGGAACTGTTAAAATGCTGTATTTAAGACACTGCAACAGGAATGTAACAATCAGCCTGGAGCCCACACAGTGCAAAGAAAGCAAAAAAAAAAAAGGGTTTGTTTCAAGAACACCCTTTTGAATTTAATTTCTCAAAAGGTTTATTTCTTCTCCACGACCTAAAGCCATGATAGGTGGCTGTGGCTCAGGTGGTAGAGTGGATTGTCCTGTAATCGCAAGGTTGGCGGCCCCTCCACAGTCAAAGTGGCAAGACACTGAACCTGAAGTTGCTCCCAGCACCTTGCATGACAGTTCTGTTGGTGTGTGAATGGGTGAATGAGAAAACACTGTCAGGCGCTTTTGAGAAGCACTTAGGTAGACAAGCGCCATGTAAATGTAGTCCATTTACCATGATTTCTCCTCTAACTTTTGCTTTTACAAGCTACCAAGTTAAGAAATGGATATTCAGCTGAATAAATGATTTGATGCTGGTAATAGTGCAAATCAAGCCAAAGTGAGGTCAAGTCAGTCATTAACAATGTTAGAAAACTCTGCACACAACCACCTGAACATTGTGTTTGCTTTGGTGACTCATGATAAAGCACACACAAAAACACAACTTTACCAGTGAACACAACTGTGCACAGAAAAGCAAGCAGACAACGCAGAGTCAGTGTAGAGCTCACAGCCTGAAGTATCCAACTGGCTCAGTGCCACAATTAAAGAGAAGATTCACATCATCCTGCAACATGCTGCGTTATTTTTGTACATGTGCTGACCCATGTTGGATCAGTGATAGTCGCTCTAAAGTGACTTAGTGCCGCCTTACCTGGAGCTGGCTTTAATCTCACTAGCCACAAAAGGCGCCGCTTCTGTATTAGTGAAATAATCTCAATGTTTAAGGCAGATTCATCTTCATCTTCAAGTATTCCTCAAGTTTCCCTTACCGGCACCGAGGTGGAAGACGTTAATAATAATCCCAGAATATGTCGTGAGTTAGACACACGGGAGGACAAGCGGCTGTGATGCGCTGTGATGTGGCTGATCGATGCGCGCTCTGACCGTCTCCAGCTGGAGATGTTGAAGGACGCACATGAACTGCGCCGAGGAGGTGCTGAAGAGACTCACCTCTGAGCGGAGAGAGACGCTGTTTGTTGTGATGCGGAGATCCAATCACACAGAGCTGATTTAGCAAATAGACACTTTACTGCACCTTTTGCTGACGCACGCTGTTTTGCCAGCGACAATGAAGTCGACTCCGACAGGTCAAACTGAAGTGACTCGTCAAATTACCGATAGATCTTTTGGGCATGTCAGGATTGGGGATCTGGAGCGTGCTTGTCTAAGGTATTATTCACACCGACTAGTGTGTCAGTGTCTACGGTTTAATAAAAATGACTGTTACTGAGTTGTAAAACCCAGGAATTGTTGTCAAGAAAAGCACATTTTCGCCCCAAACATGGTAAACTTGTTACAAACACCAGTTTACGCACGCATTTGGGTCTATTTACCAACGTTGTGCTGTGGCTGGAAGTCCAGTTTGGAACAGGACAGATAAACAGAGATGAGGAAAAGTACTAATATTAAATTGCTGGTGTTATTAGATATTATTGGAAGTATAGTGTCCACATACAACTACAATAGTTAGATTTTATTTCATAAAACTGTTCAATTACTGGTTTAGGATTTCTTAAAAATACAAACAAGTAAATAAAATTCCAAGAACAAACAGGCATTTTCCGATTTTACTCATTCATTCACACATTCTCCCCACTCCTAAACTTATTTAGTGTTAAACATCTTTCTGCACAGTGAGTCAAATATGCAAGATAAGTGACATTTTGAGTGAAGGCAGACTTGAATAAAAACGTTGTGTCTGGAAAGATTGCTACGGAAGAGGAATAGGGCCACTGAAGAAAAAAATTCTGGGAGATTTTTTTTTTATTTCTAATGTCCTGGAAAAAAGTCAGAATTCTGACTTTAATCTCAGAATTCTGACTTTTTTCTCAGAATTTTATTTATTTTTTCTTCAGTGGCCCTAATCCTCTTTAGTAGATTGCAACTCGATGTGCTTGCTTCACTTTTAATTTAGTTTTTTTGCCTTGAGAGGCAGCACTGAGCGCCAAATCACACCATAGGGAAATCTACCACAACTTCATTGGAGCACGTTTTGCTTGAATTGTTACATACACAAGACAGAAGTGTGGAGAGATCCATGTCTGTAGTCTGTCTGCCTTGTGGTTGCATCATGCTCTCTTTACTCAGCAGCACTGGATTTCCTCCTTTTCTAGAAAATAGCTGAATATGGTGGCGATTAACAATCCCAAATCCACTGTCCAAAACGTCTTTTCATCAGCCTGTAAATAACTACACATATGCCATGCTCATGTTTTTTTTTTGTTTTTTTTTAGCACTTAGCCTTTCACCCCTTGACAGACTTTTGCCCCATTGTGCTGCTGTGAGTCAGTCCTACCTGCTGCACAGGTAAGACACATTTAAGTATCCGACAAACTGGTATATATTGTCTTCATACAAATGCACTCTACACCTTTGTGAAAGGGTTTTGACAATTTTTCTGTTTACTGTACCAAAAATTGCACAATATAGAGTTTTAACGGCACAACGAACTGTTAACCATTTTACTTCAGTCAGTTAAATTCCTTAACCTCTGGCAGCATCTGTCGACTAAACGGCTAGTTTTGACAATCTGCAAGTGGTCAAAATAAAACTTAATAATACCCTTGAAGTGACAGGTTTCCAGGAAAATCTTTGGGACATTAGTCAAATGAAGGCCTGCTGCTGGGCTGCCACTCAAGTTTTGTTTTACAGCTGGATAAAGGTGGGTGTTCTGCCACAATGACCGACCACTGAGCTGTGAAGCCTGCTGGCCCTTACAGTATGGTAGTGCTTGTGACAGATTGAACCAGCAATGGATCTGGCAGACATTAGATCTGATTCCTAAGTCGGGGTTAAAATCCATAATTTGATGTTTTTTGTTGAGTAGGTGGATGTAGGTATTGTTTGTTTTATTGTCATTTAGGTAGTGCATCAGCACTTTCAAAGCACGCCTTTCTTTACACAAATAGCCGCAGAGGGATAATGAGGTACTTGGTACACCGTATTAAGGATGCTTGTCTGCTTGTCTTGCTTTTAGAATTCACTGGGACCCTCTGAACATAGAGTGAGTCCACATTATTCTTTGGCCGAAAAGTGCTTAAATGAAAGACAAGAACATCCTGACTGTCATAAAAAGGCACAAAATCATGGAAGTCAGGGGCAGTTTGTCTCACTGTCTGTGTGGAGGTTTTGGACGGACATCAACAGAGCAGGTGAAAAGGTCACAGGGACACTGAACAGCTTAGGAAGAGAAAACAGTAATTTATTGGCAGTTAACTGGCCACCAGAAACAATCAATGATACGTTAACTTGATTTTATGTGAAATACAATATGGGTGAACTAAAGTAATTTAACATTTTTACTGTGACATTATTGATATTTTAGGTAGAAATGTATTCCCATTTACCTTCTAGAGATGTTAAAGCAAGTAAAGGCGAAAAAAAAAGGGTTTTCGATATCACAATTAGAAAAAGGTTTTCAGGTAGCATCACTCTTGATCAGGATTCTCTAGAGTGAGAGAGACATACCAGTATCTAATGGCTTTGAATGATCTGTGGAGGAAAGTCTTGACTCGCTGGGTAGCTCAGGTCTTTATTTGCATTCTAATTACAAAGGCATGGTCAAGCACCTCTCTGAT